GGGTTAATAAATACATTTTTAAACATTATAGAACTAAAAACTAACCAAAACAAGAACCTAGAAGACATTTCTTTCAAAACTCTAAGATTTTAGGCTATATCTCTCTGAATTTCCTGTACTAAAAACCTCTTAAACCTGGATAATGGTTGGCTTTTTTCTAAACAGATCAGAGCATCATTTTTTTTAATGTAGTGGGTCATTCATGGATTTTTGCTCTATTAGTCTTCTCTTCCCTGATAATGCTTAGCTTACAGTATTGCCAGTCATTCTGGATAACTTGTCTGAGGACAGTCTGGCTTCAGAGAACAACCTCTAGTCTGAGGTTCTCACCTGAGAAGGATGATTCCCTTGGATCCAAACCCCTGGATACCAGAAAGTGTCCAGTAGGTTCTTGACTCTTTAAAATGAAGTTCTAAGAAGTAGCTCCACCGATGCTATTCAAAAGTAGTCTTATGAATTTGATTTCGTAAATAATAAATGAGCTAGGCGTTCATTTATCTTGTATGTTATGAGCCTTCATGTTATAATGCTATAAACAATAGATCTGAATATTTTTTCATCTTAATAATGTTACTATGTAACCTAACTTTTCACTACCAGTGATCTTATTGTTCCCATATCACTACACAAAATTTGTAGCTATGTTTTTAAGTGCAAATATTGTAGCACAAACTGATTAGCACAGGAGAAAAAGTGAATAGAGAATATATTTTTTTAAAAATTGATGATTACTTGATCATTTTAATATGTAGGAGATATGGGTGGGTTGGAAGAAAAACAAGAAAAGCTTTAGATAAAATACATGCTGTGTGGTTCACAAGAAAATGCAGGTTGTATCTAGGCATGAATTCACCCATGGTAATATGCTAGTTTTCTATTATGCTGATAGTTTAAAAAAAAAATTTAAACATTTAATCAATAGATGAGATGGAAGTAATTTTAACTTTGTTTTTCCCAGCATTTCTTCAGCAGCAGTTCAGCTTAGATTTTGTTGGCAGGGATCTTACTTTCGGTGCCATTGAAAACTCATCTATAGAAAGGCTTTAAAATCTTTATTTGTTAGGATGACGAAGTCAGTAAATTAGAAGTGTTGCGATTAACTTGGGACCTGATACTGTCAACATTTATGTAGGTGCCTAATTAATTCATGTAGTTAAACTGAGAGATGTTAATGGATCACATTTTTCAGTCTAAGAATGCATAACTGTTTTCAAGACCACAGCTCAAACTAAGAAAACAATATTTCATTTTTCCCCCAAGGTATGGTTTTGCTTCTGAATCTGAAATCCATAGCCAGTCTCTCTGTGCATAATAAATGAACTGTCCTCTATCTGATGCATTTACAAGTTTCAACAGCACGCACAGATTTTATGCCATTACTTTTAGCTCTTTCACTATTGGCATAGGAATATCCTTCTTTTTCACAGTAAATGATATATAAGAAAGAATGGATTTTTTTTGTGTGCAACTGATTCAGGTTATTACCCATACATAGCTGTAATGGAGCTCCTCAAGTGTGGCCCAATAACCTAAACTGGAGAATAATACAGTTCTTAACTCAATTTCCAAAAGCTTTACTGTATTATATGACAACATATGCTTAGAGAAACTCTAAGTATACTTTAAGATGTTTTATAAGTACAGTTTAAGATGTTCATTAGGTTAAGATCTTTTTTCTTGCTCGTCTAATCAAAAATGTAAAAACGCAATTGGCAAGCAAGCAATTCATAATATGGTCTAATAGCTATTTCCATTTTGAAACAGTAGATAATGTTCACATGTAAAAATGTGAATTAAGTACTACACTGTAGACAGGGCTACAGTGTCAAAACTGTTGAAAGAAGCTTTCACACTCAATTGACCATCCCTGTGGTAATACATGTGGCCAAAAATAAGTGCCCCATGTTTACCAAAACAAATAAAATGTAACTTTCTATCTCCTGTCATCCTTTGATGATTGTGCTCTGCTTTGACCCTCTGCCTGTTTGTTCCTCTTCTACATCCATTTCAAGGAAAAGGAGGTTGTAAGTCCAATTACATTGTATTAGTAATGCAATGTGTGAGTTTAAAACATCTCTGAGAAATTAAATGTTTATTTCTGGTGAGGAGTGTTTCTTTTTGTAGCACATTTTGCAGGATCTGGTGCTGAAAAGAAAAGACCCTATAGCTGCCTTTTAAATACTTTAACAAGTATATTATATGGGGGGAGGGGAATCAAAGCAGTGAACTCTATCAGACTATGAACAGTTTCCTTCAGGAGCTGGTTGAAGTTGCTTCATTTAAGTATTGAAACAGGATTAAGAAATAGCTTCTAGACAAAAAGTGTAGAAGCATTTATGTTATTTGGACTAAATTATGGTAATGAAAACTAGAAATTTATGTCTGAATACAACCACAAAATATTAAAAAAACCAAACCAACAACCAAAAAACCAAGAGCAACAATCCCGCACATTTTCACATCCACACATGCTACAAAAACCTCTGTCAGGTACTTAAAAAATGGGCATTGTACTCCAACCAGGGCCTCACCGTGCAACTTCACGGTATCTTCTCTCAAGTCTGTTGTTGTACATTGTAATAATTTTAGATTGACCTTTGCCATTTCTTTTCAATAGCATCACATTATTAGACACGTTGCAAATTGGCTTATCTTTCTGGTTTGGCAATGTACCGCAGGTAATTAATTATTCCTTGAGATGCTTTTTCTCATGAGGTTCATGTCCACCTTCTAGTAATTTAATTTACATTTCCCTTGTTTTTCTTCTAAGAATGTCATGTGTGGCCACATCAAAAAATGGTACTAAAGTCGAGCTGTATCACATCTGCTGCTTCTCCCAGCCCACTAGTTAGCTGTTCTGTCAAGGAAAATACTGTAATAGCTTGATGCAACCTATTCTGACAAATCTGTTGCCTCTCTGACATCTGTTCATTATTTACAAGACAATTAAACATTAATTACTTTACATCATGTTTCATTTTCTTTCTGGGAACTGAAATCATGCTGAATATCCTACAATTCTTCTTTCTTTCCTTCTCTACCTTTATAGAAACAGATAAGTGCTTTTTCTCCTTTTTGTAAATCCCCGGAACTTTCTGTGTTGGTTTTTCTTGAGTTCTTAAGGATGGTTCAAAAATTGCTTTGATTATTCTCTTAAGAATTACAGGGTAAATTTTATTATGCTCTGTTAACTTGAAGATAAATATAATAGATACATCTCTTTATTTACATAGATGTTCTTCAAACTGCCCTTTCCTAATTCAGGTCTGTTGCACTTACTGTTAATTATGTTAAATACCTGAGTACCTCTGCTATTTAGGAAATTCTAGACAGAAATTTAATGGCCCTAAAAAGTAGGGGTTTTTTGCCTCTTTTTCTGCTGTATTTCTAGCTTTACTACATAACTTTTCTTTTATTCTTCATGTTTACTTGTTTTCATTGTATTTTTAATGATTGCTTTTTGAATTTCAGGCTGAAGACTTCCTTGTGCAATCATATTAGTGCCCTATTACACTCTGAAGTGTTCCACTAATTAAGATCATTTGATATACGCATTTATTAATACTCTTTCCAAAACTTCCATCTCTCTAGAACTCCTTTTCTACTTAAAATGCTCCCTCTCTACCTAGCAATTTCTTGTTAATGTTTACTTTTTTAAGTCTGTTGTTGCTGTTGCTTTTTCTTGCTTTCTCCAGTCTATCCCAAGTGCATGAAAACACGTGTGTGTATATATATATATACACACACACACATATATACACACACACACACACACACACACACATATATGTATATAAAAGGACATATGGTTTCCTGCCCCAGTGAAAGTTTACTTTCTAGGAAAGATTGTCACTGCTCTTTATGAAAATGACACTGGAAATTCGCCTTTGTATACATCAGTTGGGATCAGGCTAACAAAAAGTGTATTAAAATTATGGTGTAAGAAAAAAAATTATCAAGAAAAATAATATAACAAAAATCTCAACTGTCTGAGTCAAGAACCATCTTTTCTTCTTCCAGTTATACTCTCAAAATTATAAAACCAATGATTTTGTATCCAGGTTTCTAATGAAGCATTGATTCTGATTGTTGTGTAGTATGAGAGCCCAGTCTTCCAATATTAATGTTAAAATATTGAAGTGTAAGAGTAACCAAGTACAGGATTGTAGGTGCATCATAATTAGTGGGAACTGCTGTTCATGTTCCTGTTTGTAGGATTTGGGTTTAAGTTGTTAAAGGACTGATTTGGGGAACATTTATCTTTCTGCATATGTGATATGCAGAAAGCGATTATAGCTTCAAAGGAATCCTGTATAAAATTTGAAGAAAAACCTCTGGTTAATTCAAGGAATGTCTTTAAACTGTTTACTTAAGTAAATAATTGCTTTAAAGTATGTGTTCAAAAAGCTCATACAGCAGTCTATAGCACCATTAGCTAATATCAGTGGCTATTTTTTGTGTTACATACATAGTGAGAGTGAAGAAACAGTGTTCATTTACATTCCTTCATAAAAGTAATTTGCTAGATTTTGCATTCTAAACATGTTTTATCCCTTATACAATTAAAACTATTCAGTATGAGCTAGGCTGCAGTTAGTGATCTAAGTTAGTGGGCATAATGGCTACTTTAAAATATAAATATATGTACTGTGTTCATTCCAAGTTGTAAAAGTTGTAAATGTACTTTGCTGACTGCTCATATAGCTTGCAGTCTTTTAAAAGTTACTAAATCACACTTTTTAAAGGAAGTTTTGCATTCCTTTTTTTTGTGCAATTGGAGAAGAGAATATGAAGGTGGCTCTTTTCATGCTGTCAGAAAATGTGCCAGAGCTCTGCATGTGTAGAGTCGCTACAAACCCACGGCGCGAGCCTTCCTGGGTCTTGAAATTGTAACAGTACTTACCTTGTCTACTGGAAAGTATTTATGCCCAAAGGCAGGGGGAAGGTGTTCAAAAAAGGAGGTGTCTAATCTTTAGTGCCTTTCATTTTGTTTAATCTAGTTATGCCACGTTTTGCTGAACAAGTCGAGGTGGCCATTGAAGCTCTGAGTGCGAATGTCCCGCAGCCATTTGAAGAGAATGAGTTCATCGATGCCTCCCGCTTGGTTTATGATGGAGTTCGTGACATCAGGAAAGCTGTTCTGATGATAAGGGTATGTAAGGCACCTGGGCAATGAAAGTTGGGACTTACGGGAAAATATCACATTGGATGAGAGGAATATAATGCTTCTATGAATCAACTTTGTTTTGTAATATGCCAGAAAAATGTGACGTTGAAACAAGCATGAAACAAAAGTGTGTGCAGTAAAAGTATAAGTAAAGAGATGAAGGTACTTTGGGAGATGAACTACAACTGATTCGTTGATCTCCTAGGAGAAGATCTGAGCACAAATGCCACTAGATGCAAACTTAATTGCTGTTTCCGTAGTAATTTGCTAAGATCCTCAAAGTTTGCGCAGATTTTTATTGCTTGTTTGTCTTTTTCCTACTGCATGTTCTGCCTAGGCTGTGAGGTAAGTCTGGTTAAAATCTAAATGAATAAATAAATTATCTTGCTGCTCCAATGAGCCTCAGTAGGGATGGTTTTGAATGTTTACTGAGGTAAAGAATCTGGCATTTTGACATTGCCTAACCAGTTCATTCAGTTTGCTTAGGCATCTTTTAAAAAACTGAACTAATATATTAAAAAACCCACCCACAGAACAATATAATTATTGTGAGAGTAGATGTGTGTCTTGCTTTTCAGTGTAGTCTACAGTCAAAGACTTTAAAAAACCCCAACTAAACAAAGAAACAAACAAAAACCCTCCCCAAACCAAACCTGGTTTGGACATCTCTTCAACAACTGAAACTCTTATTTGAAACTCAGATTACCTTGAATCTGCCCCAGTTGAAAGTCCTGTATAAATAAAATTATGGTGAAAATCACAGAGAAAACTTATGAAACGGTTAACGGTGCTGAAACAACCCATCCCTCTGAGCAAACAGGTAACATACGCTTGTGATTGTGGGTATAGTACGACATGGATGTAAGACTTCAGGTAGTTGTAGCACTCCAAAATAGCTTCATTTTAGTCATTTGTCACTATGTATTACAATTTACAGAAAAAGCTTTTCACAGGCTTAATTTTATAGCTATGAAACCTAAATTCCGTTCCTGTACCCAGTGCTAATCTCAGGTCATGGCTGATGATGGAGGCAAACCCGTCCTGTTTTCTGTGTGTGCAACATGGAGGTATTTGCAACTCTTCTGGGTTGGGATGGAAATGGAAGATCTGCATGGTAGAGGATCTCCGTTTTTCCTTTGATTATCCAATTCCTTAATCTGTAGCAGCAGTTTTCAAATTTCTTTTAGGACAAGAACCACTTCTAAGCCCATTTTAATCTCTTTTAATCTCTCATGTGTCATTTTTAATTGCTTCATGAGACACAGTCATCAGGTGGGATCTGCTATAGACCTAGTCTTTCCTATCCCCATTGCAGTGTTCTGGTTTCCCGCACCCCCTTACACGTCAGAGTCGTCTCAAAGAGGTTGCCATGAGACTGTCCATGCAGGGTGAGATGTTTCTGCTAAGCTCAAAGCACCATTTTAAGTCCCAGAGGGACATTCACTCATTTCATTGCTGTCTTGCTGTTATGTTAGCTATGAGCTTGGAAAGCTGGTGAGCGTGCAGGCTTCGCAGAAACATCTCAGATTACTTTTGCAATTGTATCATTACCACTTTCTGCTCCTTGTGTGATAGGAGTTAAAGAATTATGCTTACCCGGATTAGGGAGATGTATTTTTGCATTCAGACAATTAACTTATTTATGGAGCTAAATGTAGTGCTCCTTACCCAGCCAGTGAACTAAAGGACATAAATGGACTCATTATCCCTGTGAGTTAACTGGGAAAATCCAAATATATAAACTTACAGAGACCAGAGTGTGCTGAATCAGAACATTATTTTCTGTAGAAAACAAAATTAGTTACAGTTTGAGACACTCTTTAGCATTCCCATTTGGACATCTCACATTGAAATGGAATATGTAATTAAAGGGCAAGTATTAAGCTGTAAAAGACGGTCTTTAGAATTTCTTCCTAATATCTAGTCTAAACCTACCTTCTTCCAGTTTAAAACCATTGCCGCCTGTCCTATCAGTACACTCCCTGATAAAGAGTCCTTATCCATCTTTCCTGTAGGCCCCCTTGAAGCACTGGAAGGCTTCTATAAGATCTCCCTGAAGCCTTCTCTTCTCCAGGCTGAACAACCCCAACTCTCTCAGCTGGTCCTCACAGAGGAGGTGCTCCAGTCCCTGATCATCTTCATTGCTCCCTTCTCTGACCTCACTCCAATAAGTCCATGTCTTTCTGATGTTAGGGGTCTCGGAGCTGGATGCAATAACTCCTGGTGGCATCTCACGAAAGCAAAGTAGAGGGGGAGAATCACCTTCTTTTGACCTGCTGGTCACGCTTCTTTTGATGTGACCCAGGATATCGTTGGCTTTGTACTGCAAGCGCACACTGCTGGCTGAAGTTGTGCTTCTCATCTATCAACACCCCCAAGTCCTTCTCAGGACTGCTCTCGAGCCATTTTCCGCCCAGCCTGTATTTGTCCTTGGGATTGCCCTGACCCAGGTGCAAGACCTTGCACATGGTCTTGTTGAACTTCACGCAGTTCATTAGTAAGTTAGATTTTACTGTAAATCATTAAACAGCTGGAGACCTGCTGTGAGACAGCTCCTCTGTCTTTGCCACTGATGCTCCTTGCAGCACCTCAGTCTCTCAGGCTACAACTGCCTTTGTACAAAAACAAATGTACAGAATAGCGTGGCGTTGAATAGAAAAGCGTATTATAAAGGCTATTTTTTTTTTCTCTTAACTTTTAGAATTAGAGGATATTTTTATGGCAAAAAATGAGGGAATATCTTTTCAGGCTTTCTTTCCTCTCATTACAAGGTTAGCTTGACTTTGTGCTGAAATTCTTATAATTGCATCTAACAATTTTTTAAGTGCCTACAGCACCATACCATAGTGGGGTTTCTATCTTCATAAAGTGTATGTGCATTGGTGAGATACTAAACAAATAGCATTTATATATCTGCATATATATGCCATTTTACAACTTACACATGCATAATTCACATTTTCATATTGCAGTTACAAAAGATAAAACCACATTATATTGATGGAAGATATCTTGTTTACAGCAAGATTTTCAATCTAGCAGCCAGAGACATATTTAGAGGGGAAAAAAAAAAGAAAGGTTCCAATGACTGGATGACTGGAAGCTGAAAATTTGTCAGCAAATTTGTATTATTGATAAAGCATGTATCTTAAAAAAGAAAGTATGTATTTATGGGATGATTTATCTGGGATTGTGAAAGATTCTTCTTCACTGGGAGAATTAATCTGCTTTAGATTAATGAAGTGGAGGATGTGCTCTATGTGTAATAGAGATACTGTATTTGAAAAAGATTACTTCTGGGAAGTCTTACGGCCTGTGCTACAGAAAAGACGGGCTCAAAATTATGAAAGTGGACCATTTTTCTGTTGCAATCAATGAGTTCATAAAATCTATTGGTTTTGAAAATTACTCTAGCTCTTCCTGCCACTGCTGTTTGCCAGAGTTTTGTTTGGAAGCCGTCTCGGATCTCAAATGTGTGTTTCCTATATCTGTGTGACCATAGGTTGAGGTATCTGCAAGACTGATTCAGTCCTTCTGTCTTTCAACCCAGATAATTTAAGTTCCAGGCTTTGTTGTCTTGGAAACTGGGTTTTAAATACCAAGGTTCTGTCAGTTGTGCACAAAAATTAGAATTATTACAGTATGATTAGAAGGCCCTGCTAAGAGTAAAAGTTTTTAAGGTACTTCAATATAATATTTCTTCTTTTTTCCCCTTTGTGTCTAAACAAATAGGAGAGCCTATTCTATATGGGCTGCATCTCCCAGAGATCAGATATAAGAAGCCATGGTGCAAGAGTGTGAAAAGCATGCAACATGTTCAATATGGCAGCATACAGATAGTGGTTAGCTACTGTTCTTCATCTTAATGGAAAAATGGAGCTATTTTTGGAAGAAAATGAGGGTGGTAAGGAGAATTTGAATCTGAAAGTTAGTTTTGAATCCGATCTCACTTGTGCAGAGGAGAAATACTGAGTTTTCTTGTGTTTGTAGTAAATTTTTAATAGATGCATTAACTTTTCCTTTTGTTTTGCATGACATGTTTTCCAAGGTCAACATTTATACCCATTAAGTTTGTCTTTTAAGGACCACATATTTTAAAATTATGAATGTCAGGCAGTAACAGCAATACATTTTTTCTGTATCTTTCTTTAAGAATAAATCCCTGAAACACAGAATTTTCAGAGTATTTTAGCTTTTTAAGAGGAATCCTCATGTCTTTACTGGTTACAGTGTTGAGATGTAATATTTTGAATATTATACCCTTACTTTACTGCAACTCTGGCTATGAAAGCCTGGGAAAGGTCTGCACATTATCTTTTATAGTCTTATCTGTAAAAGTGGAGACAGAAGAAGCTAAGAGTAATATACTTGTGGGGGAAAGCGTGCTGGTTTTACAAGAACAGTGCAACTGGCTGGTTGAATGGTCTTGGAGGATGGAGAACTGGTTTATGAAGAAGAGAGATTAAAGTGAGATAATAAAGCGATTAAAGGCGATTGGAAAGCAAGACCATTGGGCATTATGATGATGGGTATCAATCTTCCTTTTTTTCCTGTGGCAGAAAAGACAAATTCATTTTTTCACCTAAACTTCATCTCCTGTCTATCCTCTTAAATGCACTATTTGGACATGCATCTCTTCAGAGATGATGCCTGAGTTTCATTACCATACTGTCATACTTGGTTATTTCTTCCTTCAGCATCAAAACACATATTTAATTCATTCTCTTTAAGCCAAATGAAGATGGCTGTGTATTACTCTCCCCATCACGTGCACTTCACCATGTAGCTAGCAAAGCAGCCCATTTTCCCTTGCAAACAGTGATGTGCACTTGATGTTGGAAACCAGGCTGCAATATAAATATCACCAGAAGACTTCTCTACGTTACATTAGAGGGTTTGGACCAGTTCCTAGTGACTGAGCATCTTCAAGACAGAGCTGTAATGACAACTGGCAATGATTAGCACCTCTGCTAGCAAACTTGACGTTGCCTCCAAGCATGAAATGCCCGCATGGATGACTTCTGTAGGGGTTGGCCCTCTAGGTTAGCACTGAGGATGGGTATTGGGGAAGGGGAGGATTTCTCTGCACAGTTATTGTGATCTTCTTCTTCTATTACCAGTATCATGTATTGCACCTACAGAAGTTATTCATGGCCAGATTGCTGTACTAGATGTTATTCAAGCACAAAATGGAATATAATCTTCCATCTAAAGCCTACTTACTTTACCTACTACTACTATTATTGTCTCACCATATATATATAAGGAAATATTTTTGCCTCTAATTTTTGCTAGAAATTTAAAAAAACAAACAGATTCAGCAGTTATCTTTTTTCTCCTTCCTTCCAACATTTTAAACAACCTGAAGACAGCACACATACAACTAGAATTAATCAATCTGTCTAGAGACCCTCAGACCATTCATAGCACCAGCAATGGAGACAACATGGTTTCAGTTTAAGGGATGAGGCAAATTCCAAAGGTCTGTATCTGAAAAGAACCATGTCAGCCAACAAGGTAAAGCAGATTATAAATTTTACATTTGTTTCAAACGCAATTCACATCATTTGCTTATTCATTCAAAGGGAAATGTCTTATTCGCTTTGATAACCCTTTTTTCCTGGATGTTAGTTACATTTTGCCAGGTATTTTCTTTCTCTATTGAAGATGACACGGAGATTCCAGTAATATAATAGTATTAATGTCCTTTTATCTAGGAAATAACATTGTTTTGAAATACTGCATTCTGGTTTCAGAATGGATATTTTAGTGTTTCAGATGGATATTTGTTCCCGGAACTGCATTCAACATGCTAACAGAGTTAAAAAAAGTTGCAGCAAGGTAATGATAAATGCCATTTGTAAAGAAAACTAAAGTTGAAACAACTTAATTTTTACGACAATTCAATTTCAGTTCTTGACTGTTTGGGCAGACAAGTTAATTTAAAAAGAAAGAGAAACCACATTTCCTGGGCAAGCAGGCGATGAAATAAGAGCTTACTGTATGTAGGACTTTGTCTGTATCCTTTATAAGCTTGTCATCTCTCCTCTCTTTTTCTTTCTCCATGTCTCTCTCTAGACCCCTGAAGAGCTAGAGGATGATTCTGATTTTGAGCAGGAAGATTATGACGTTCGCAGCCGAACAAGTGTTCAGACTGAAGATGACCAGCTTATTGCTGGCCAGAGCGCAAGGGTAAGTAGCAAACCCACGGACTGCATTAAGTGCCCAGATAGCTACAGATAAAACACTACATCCCAGATAGCAAATGCAGTGATTTCAGCTCTTCAGAGTCCCTTAGAAAAGGACAGGAGTAACTTGACCTAGGTGTTTAACGTTATTTTCATGTCTCACCTATTCAGAAAGCACTGACTTCATTGAATGATCTTCCTCAGGCTTATGTGATGCCTCCTGTCAGCCGTTTGCTCCAGCTTGTGCTGGAGGAGAAGGCCTTGCAGACTTGGAATGTGCTGAAACTGTGGGAGTAGTCAGCCAATTTAAAAAAAAAAAAAAAATCTCATCAGGGCACCATGTGCTGTATCCAGAGAAATCTTCCATTAGTCATGTTTCCCAGTGTGCAAACCTGTCAAGAAGATCTGCTACAGCTACGAGTAGTCCCTGTAATTTAATTGTAATTGAAGACATTTGTTACTGAGTCAATGTAATTTTACCAGGATAATTACATCATGATAAACTCGAGTCATTGTGATTTGTGACCTTAGCTTGTGCATGGGGATTGGAAATTAAGTTGATGAGTGCTTCAAAGGCCACAGGTGCTGGAGAAGTGAAGTTTGTTTAACACTCAAGATTATGCCACCCTCTGATGAATGTTTACCTTTTACTAAATAGGCTGCTCAGCTCAGATTAAAAAAAAAAAAATCAACAACAAAAATACCCCCTAAGAATAGAATTTTGGGGCAAGCAACAGCATTAAAATTTATTTGACTGGAAAGAGAGTTTAAAAAAAGAAAAAAGCCTTAAATTTTTCCAGCAGAGAACCAGTGGGGAACTGAGAATTACCAGAATGCTTTTCATGGCTGTGGTTTCTTCTAGTAAGTGTTAGAAGTGAAGTAATGGTCTAGATGAGAAGCGTACCTCCACACATACACGTAAACACTGTAGTAAAACTGGTAAATGGAAAGGTGCCTTCTTACCTTGAATTCGGGAAGACAGTTTGTAGGGCTGAGAACATGAAGACCAAAAGGCAGTGATGCCTTGAAAGATCAATTCAGAGGACCAAGAAGGAGGAGTTTTTGGCTGCTGTGGGAAGACCCACAGTATGTTAGGGCTTGACACAAACTTTTTACACCCTGAAAAGAAACAGTAAAGTAATGGAAACTCAAATTAAGCTTACTTAGAGGTATAGGAGGAATATGAGATGTAGATAGAGTGGAATGGGCAGAGGTTTCGTTTTTCAATGAAGTTAATTTCCTTGAGTATTGAATATGGTAAATAAGGCATACTGTGTATCAGAAAAGCCAAGTGTCTGTCACTATATCCCAAGGACAAAAAAATGTGCCCTTGCGTATCGAGGACGTATCATATATATCATTATTACCTCGATGAAGAGCAGATGGATTGTAGGTCCCATCTCAGAGAGCTGGGTGACCAGGACCTGGCATTGAAAACTATGTAGTCGGGAGAATTGCAGAATAAAACCTGGATACCTTTAGAGGAGTTTTATATTTTAAAAAGCATAAAGTCCTGTTTGATATATTCAGAGAAATGACTACTAAAGTAAGTCTCAAGTACAAAAGTATTGAGATCCAATACAGTTATTTCACACTCTTTTTTTTTTTTGTTGCAGCTGGGATTGGGTAGGATATTATCCTTTCTTGATCTGAAAACCAAGTAAAGACTGCAGTAATATTTTTCCTAAGAATCTTGTTCACCTAGGGACTTAAGAGTCTTAAATTCTGCTACATTTATTGTGGATATCATCACTGCCACACTTAAAACCTTCTGCTTTGATCAGCTATACACTGTATAAACATAGTATATTATAAAGACAGTCCCATTTCTGGATAACGTAGAATGCAATATGTCACGAGAAGCAAGAAACGATGAAAACATAAAGTGAAAACATGCTAAGCAGAAGCCACCCAGTCCACAGTCTTGAGTGACTCATTGAAATGAGTCTGCTAAGCTGAATAGGATCTTATTTGAACTTTTTTGATAGAAAAGCTGGATTTTTATTTGTGCAATGTAATGGATTTGTTTAATACGCTTACTCCATAAAGCTTGCAGCATTTCAGGAGAAAGACTGGTGTTGGTCTTCAACAGAAATAAAACTTGAATTTATGAGCTGCATTTCCTATAGGATATAGCTTCTTTGAAAATGCATCAGCAGCTGCAATAGCAATGTTTAAACACTGTACACCAGTATAAGGGGTGTGCAGGTAAAGCTGCCTGCAGACAGAAACCACATGCGAGACATAGAGATCAGCTTTCCAAATTTTCCTACTCCTATCACATTCTCTTAATTTCCATTTATTCATCTATTGTAGTGTTTTATATGTATTTAACATATATTTATTTATTAGCTTGACTTAGACTGCATTTTTCTTTGGAAAGACTAATTTGCTAACATTTGAAACTGCTGAGTTACATTGATAAGGCCTAATTAAAACTCATGCGTTGAATTTTAATTTGATTAACTTGCAGATTTCTCATTTTTCTGATCTACTGTTTATAACCTTTTTTAATTTCAGTTTTGGAAAAGGTCAATTATGAATTTTTAAAAGCCAAGAGCATTTTAAGAATATGGAGAGAAAGGCTTCAACTGATTGAAAGTGACATAAACAAGAAAAAATGTAATGACACTTAAATATGTGTCACACCCCATTAAATGCATAATGTGGTGTTCAGAACGCCTAAAGCCAACTAATAGCTCAACTTGGAAATCATTATTGGAGGTGGCCGTTTGGTCTTCAAAAGTAATTATTAGGATTTTGTAGGATTTTCTGTTTTATTTTTTCTTATTTTGGGGGCAGACGGGGCACTTCCTGCTTTGTTGATAATGTTGAGGCACATTAGTACCTACCTGTGTAGAGCCCTTTTGCATATCTTCCAAAACACAGTTAGATTAATAAATATTATTGAAGGGTACATTAGTTAGAATTAACTTCAAAAGTAGTATCTTGCATGTCATAACTTATTTTAGTGTTAGGTTAAGTAGAAAATCTCTGTTTCTGACAGAGAATGAGGCTGGGGGAGGAGCTGGCAATTCAGTCTGCTTTTTTCCATGGATATCACTCATTTTGGTCTTCCTAAAAGTTAAGACTTGACAGGAATATTCTTGCATCTTCCTTTATCGACTAGTGTCACGAGGATGGAGCCAGGCTCTTCTCGGTGACAAACAATGATAGGACAAGAGGTAATGGGCACAAGCTGGAACACAGGAGGTTCCACTGAAATTGGAGAAGAAACTTCTTCTCAGTGAGGGTGACAGAGCACTGGACCAGGCTGCCCAGAGAGGTTGTGGAGTCTCCTTCTCTGGAGACATTCAAAACCCGCCTGGACGCCTTCCTGTGCAACCTCATGTGGGTGTTCCTGCTCCGGCAGGGGGAATGGACTGGATGAGCTTTTGAGGTCCCTTCCAATCCCTAACGTTCTGTGATTCTGTGTGATTCTGTGAATAATCTCTATATTGTGGCATAACATATATATATATATATATAATTTTTAAATCTTTGAAGATATAAGGAGAGGTATAAACATCCTGTGAATTTGGTTTTGCCTGTCCTAATAGAAATCAAATATCTACTGGATTTTGCTTGACATCTTCAACTCCCACAAAAAGAAACCAGTTGGACACACCATTTGGACCACTGGACATGTATATAGATTCTAGCTTCCTTTTTTCATGCCTAGCTTCTCCCTTTTTTTTCTCCAGGCTATCATGGCTCAGCTTCCCCAGGAGGAGAAGGCGAAGATTGCTGAGCAGGTAGAGATATTCCACCAAGAAAAGAGCAAACTGGATGCGGAGGTGGCCAAGTGGGATGACAGCGGTAATGACATCATTGTGCTGGCAAAGCAGATGTGCATGATCATGATGGAAATGACAGACTTTACCAGGTAAGGACAAATTAACCTGTGCTGAGGACTTCAGACATCCCACATCTTTCCTTTTTGCTGCAATTTATAGCCTGTTGAGATGATGTTTTTTGGGGGATACAAATCCAAGTAACACCCATCATACATATTGGAGTAGGTTTTACAATTCTCTACACAAAAACTACTCTGGTTGTTTCTCCAGATGGGATTAATCACATGAAGTTTTTGGCCCATTTGTGAATCTGTTTTCTTTGCAGATCATCTTGAATTTTGGCAGCAAAGATAGTCTGTGACCTTACGGACGCTTGACTGGCATTTCGTTTGCTGCCCATCTAAATGCATGCACCTCTCTGAACTTTCAACGTTTCGACACAATTTGTGTCAGTCAAAAATAATGGCAAAACTATTTATATAGTTTTGAACACTGAACCTCTTTCCAAAAAAAATCCCAAATGAAATGAAACTGGTTTGATCTAATACTTTATTGAAGCCTGTCAGTAATGATAACTTTGCTTTAATTTCTTTTTTCTCTTGATGTTTTGTTCTTTTATAATTGCAAAGCATCAAAAGGCCATTCGTTAATGATATCACATAAACAGAATTATTTTGTCTCAATATAGTCATATTGTTAATCACATCAGGGAGAACATTTTGCAAGATTCTTAGAATTACAGATCACCATAATAAATTAAAGGTTTTTACAGTGTTTATTTTTAATGGGAGTTCAAGAGTTTAAATGGTATTCATCAAAATGTGATTAGGCAAAAATCTTCCTGTTTTTCTTCAGAATTGTAAAAACACATCCATTTTTTTGTCTCACTGAGATGCTAAAATAGATTTCTTAATTTCCATATGATCACATGCCTTGTCTAGAGCTTTCAACCCATTTTGAGGAGATGATCTCTGCATTGACAATATAGGGTTCACACCTTATAGAGAGTGAGATGGGGGTGTATAAATACCATTAATTCGCAAATAACGTGACTGTTTGCACTTGTGCAGTTAGTTATTTGGTAATGGGCAACAGCAAACATTTTTTGTGCATTTTAAATTTAATTACGCATATAGAAAGTTTGCTTACTTTAATAGATTACGAGTACACTTCTTTCCAATTAATTATTTTCTCAGTTTATTTGTTTTTCTCTGTTTGTTTACAGCTATTCATTTTACAGTAAACTCACTACTCCTGCGCACCACATGACAGTGTAGAACCCTCTGTGAAGGGTGATATTTTAAAGGTGTCTTAATTTCTTTTGTATTTTTGTTGTCTTTGGGTCTCTGACCCTTCTGCCCAAAGCGAGAGTGAAAAACTGTCCCAACAGTGCCATCGTTTCGTGGAAGGAAGAAATCATGTTCTAAAGCAACAGCCCAGAATATGAACTGTCTGCAACCTCTCAGACAACCTTTGATGCATTGAGCATCAAATTGAAAGTTTTGTAATTGCATTTTCTACCATCAAAAGAACAGAACTAATACCTGAATCTGAGAAAAGTACTCTCACATTTGAAGTAAATTTAAAAAAAAATAAAATCAAAGTGGACCTCTGTCTACATCAGATTCAATAAAAGCTTGTTTAATATATTCCATTAGAACAGAACGAAGCCTTTCACACCTTTTTGGTTCACTGTAACTTCAGCAGGGTTAAAATAGAATAATTTTTCAAATGCATGGAGCTTGCAACAGTCAGGTCTGTTGGTGTAATGGATGTAGAAGCATCTGAGGTCACTCTGAAGGATTTCTTCTACAGTTTAAGTTCAACAAAAGTGGGATTACTTGTATTTCAGAATCTGTTTAAGGTGGAAATGAAAGTATGCAAAGATAAAAATGGAAATATGTTTCAGTATGTTACTTCTGGCATTATAGGTGAAAAAATGCCAAAATAATACTAGGTTGTACTTAGAGAAAATGCCTTTGGTTTTAGTTTAAAAGAACCCTAAGTTTGATTGTATTATGATTTTGCATCACTTTTGCCTGAAGCTGTATTTCTCTACATAGTATAAAGAAAACAACAACAAAAGGAAAATCAGCTCAGTTCCGACTGAGCCGTTCCCAGGAACAGCAGCAGATTTATTGTTTTCTGAAGCAAATTCAGAAAAGTCTACGGTAGTTTTTTGACTCTTTGCCTATATACATTTTGTTAACTTTAATGTCCAAAATTAGAGTTTTATAAAAATAGTGAATTATCTGAAGGGTATAGTGAATCATATTGTTTTATCATCTTAAAAGTATAGTGAAAGATAAGTCTTAAAAGTAATTCTACATGTTTTAAGTGTAATATTTAAGTGTGACATAAGAATTAAGCTTCCAGTATCTTTGTTTTCTGACAAAAGCCAACCAAAAAATGTTTCCTACAATGTGTCATTCTTGCTCTAGACATGACAGGCTTAACATTTAGCAGTGGCTTGGGAATGACATGATTTTGAAATAGTTGTGTATTCCAGAAGAATGCTGGCTTAATGAACACTTAAAAATGCATATACTGTTAAGTGTAGTTCGTGTGCTTGGAGGTGCCATCAGACTAAATTGCTAGTGAGGCATTTTGTAAGAGAGGAAATATCTTAATTTCTTAATCAAGTGTTACTGTAAAGTAGTTAAAAGGTGAAATTGTAATAAATGAAGAAGTCATTCATGTTACTATTTTAAATTCAAACGCTAAACAGGGGCACTAAAACTGCTGCCTTTCAAGATTTATTTAGATTGTGCATAATTTTGTTGTATTTCACAGAGGTAAAGGCCCCCTGAAGAACACATCCGATGTCATTAATGCAGCCAAGAAGATTGCAGAGGCAGGGTCAAGGATGGACAAATTGGCACGGGCGGTAGCTGATCAGGTAAGAAGAAAAATGAGCAGAAGTATAATGTAACTCTATCAATTAGTTGCCTTGTGCAGGAAAAGGTTATCTTTACCTGTTGAAAGTTCCTGCCTGGATACCGATCTACCAATTGAATATAAGTTGTGTATTCTATACCCATCAGCTTGGGTTTTGCAGTGCAGGACAGTCATAAATGAGTCTCTCTAAAGCTCAGAAATGCCTGAATTGTTCCACAGCTCACTTCTGGAAACAGGTGATTGTATTAGAATTAGGCTGATATATTTGCTGTCATGCAAACAGTAGTGACTTGGATGCTCCGTTACCCTTGCCATATGTCTAGGAATCGTTACATCCATTTCAGCTCATTCTTCCAGCAGTTTCCATTTCTTTTTCAAGATGCCCTGACTCCCTTTCTTCTGCTTTGCATCAGGGTGTTGTACTTTCACCTTGCAGCCCCCTGCTGCTTCTTCTAGGGACTGTGTCCTCAGTCCTATTACTAAATTCATGTCACATCTGGAAAGATGAACTGGCTATATTCAGCCCTTTCACATTTGATAATCTATCCACCTAGAAGGCAAGAGGAAGCATCATACTAAAGTCAGGAGCCAATTTCAAATCCAGGTTTTAGGTAGCTAATTTTAGATTTAGGCAAATTCAATTTAACTATTTTTTTTCCTTTGTAAACTTCCTATAGTTTCTTTGCTTTCATTGCAATCAGGAGAAATTTTGCTGGAAGTGGGGACTGACAACTCCCTTGCCTCTAGTCTTTCTCTTCTGTATAAGTATTTCTTTTCCTTCTTCAAGTAAACATGTAATATTGTGTAACTCATCCAGCCAGGGAATATGGGCCAGAGTGGCAAGAAACCTGAAGCTGCCCATTTTCCTATAACCTCAGAAATTTGGGGTTTAGGTTTTCTTCATTATCAGCAAGCATTTTTCCTATAGTTAACCCATTCCAATCCTTCAAATGTAGCATCTGTTCATTTTAGCATGAGAAGAAATCCATCTGTCAGCTGATGAAATTCCTCGTCTACAATATTTGCAGAGGTGGAATATTTTAAAGAAAGAAACACAGAGACTTGCTATGCTTAGAATGCATTGGCTTGAGTCACATTTTAACTTTCAGAAGACTGTAACTTGCACACTTTAATAATAAACAGTAAAATCACTACGAGAATGAAGTGTTTGTTTTAATGCTTGTGCCTTAATGATATTTTACAGAACTTTGGAGACAATCTTGCAATATAAACTTTTTATGGACAGTTACATTTTTAATTACTGTTCCAATGAGAGAGATCTTACATTTTCATTCGCTCCAAGGTACTTGTATTTAAAGCCTTGTCAGCTCTCTAGAGGTATTGCTTTAAAGTTCATTTCTTTCAGTTCATAGCTTTCAAGAGTAGGGTAAATATTTCTGTATTAAATTGTCACCAGTAGGGAGATGGGGTCTCTTAGGGATTCATGCTTGAAAGATGTGGCAACTGCCTGAGAAAGAGAGGCACTGTAGCATCGCCGTATGTATAGAACAGATTAAACCTAACAGCTGCAATGAACTTCCAGCTATGTTTATTGTTAGTTATAAAGGGAGAGAAAAAAGCAAAGTGACTGCTTTCAGGGTTATAGACAACAGTATCTGCAACTACTGCACTGCAAACCTACTCCTTGCCAGCATCAGCCGTTGGGACAAGAGCAGTCATCTCAAGTCAGGGGTTGTGTTACTGTTGACTTACGTGTGTTTAATTCTACCAGATTTTGTTGAAGCACTCTGATAAAATTTTATAAAAGCAAGCATAAACTTTGTAAGAGTTATTCAAACTCTTTATTCAAAGTTATTCTAAAAAGACTTATTCAGAAGTCACTAAATCTTTGTTCCCCAAGCTATACAGTCAAAGAACATTGTCAGTCAGACTTTGTTGTATAGCTCCAAAGAGTATTTATTGGAGACATGCTGTTAGCATTGGGCCCTTTAAGCAACTTTTCATCAGAGTGAATTACTGAGCTCTGTTCTCTTGAGGGCAAGACTTTGAATATTAACTACAGGAGTGTTGTTTATTATGCTGTTGATATTGTGGAGGATGATGCAGTTTCTATTAAAACTTCTGAAGACTATGACTAAGTTGTACTTGGGACTTTTCTAGTTATGTTGATTATAAAACCTTCACCAAGTCTACCACATTTGGCCTAAGGTAATCTGTATCAAAACACATTTGTGATGCACAGCATCCAAAATGGTACAGGACTGTAGATAGTCTCCCTTCTGTCCCTTAGATATGGAGAGGGACCAGCTTATCTCACTGTGTTCTTGTGAAGGGCTGCAATACTGATGTCATCTCCTGAGGCGCTCTGTAATATGTCACTTACACTGCAGTAAATAATTTCCTTCTGGCACAGATTAAGGTATTTTCTCATTAATAAGAATCTTGCCAAATCTGCCAATACCAAATCTAAGCAGTCTCACCTCTGCCTCTTGAGTCCTTAGTATGTCCATAAGGGCCCTGGCTTAAGCAGAGCTGTGTCCTCTGAAGGTCTGCACAAATGCCAGAGAAGCTGGCAAGAAGTCAAGAGTTGGCATTAGAGTGGATGTAATCAGTCAGAACTGAGTTTATCTGGACTTTAACTGGTCCATGTTATATCTTAATCCGGACACCCTGCAGACCACCTGGCATTCCAGGTCAAACTTGGTCTTTTGGCTGCTCAGTAGATTGTTCTGTTCTGTACAAACTCATACCATAAGTGGACCTCCCCCACAAACATAACTATCATATTATGTTCATTGTCTTTTGTTAGTGGCTGACAGAGAGGTTTCTTCTTTTTCCAAAAAGGTGTAATGTATGTTCATGTTACAATTCATAAGTGTTGAGTTAAATGAAAGGTAGAGTTTGAATTTTCATTTTTCATCAAGTATCTCACGTAATGATGAAGTGAAATGGATCCACCTAATGCCCTCGTATTGGCACTGTCTTCTCTGATTAGCTCTCTGTAATCACATAAACTCAGCTCCATCTGATCAATTATTTCTTTTGTCTGCAGTGCCCAGACTCAGCCTGCAAACAGGATCTGCTGGCCTACCTGCAGCGCATTGCCCTCTACTGCCACCAACTCAATATCTGCAGCAAAGTGAAGGCAGAAGTTCAGAACCTGGGAGGAGAACTTATTGTATCAGGGGTAAGCCGGTATTTGTATTTAGACATTTATGTTTCCCATGTAGCACTTGAAGGGAGCATTTTTGATGGCAATAAAGTACAGAACAAAAATACAGTGATTCATAAGCAAGCTTTTTAAAATGTTATCGCCATTATTCCAGACCTTACAATAACTTGCGTAGAGCAATTTGATTTTCCAATTACCCTTTGTTTATACTAACCTTGTAAAATCTTCATTCTTCCCAAAGAAAAGTAATTTCATAGCCTAGAAATTTATTGCCAAGCTGTGAATATTATAATTATTTGGAACTTTTGTAGATTTGCTCGTTATAAATCTTTTCTTTGTTAGTACTGGTAATTTCCTTCCTCTGTGCAGAAGCCAGCTCTGTATGAAGTGCATATTGTTAAGATGGTGATGACTAATGGGATTTCATTCACTCAGGTTCCAATGCACACTAGGTTTAGCAAAAACTCTGGAAGGCCAGCAAGATATTTTAATTTTTGATGCACGTGCTGTTTTCAAATAATACTGGCACGCACAATGATTACATACTGTAATTCCCATCCAGTTATTTCAGTTATTTTCAATGCACACTACAAACTTCTTACACACAGTCTTTCTTAGAAATAAAGACAGGAATGCGCAGCAGCAGTAATATTATAAACAACGATTTGTCTACATTTTTAAACTATTTTTTTTTTACTTTCTCCTAATGTTGGACTCTGTGCCTCTGGGAGATTACTGGAACCAAACAGTAGCAACTGCTGCTCTTCATGATTTTCTTGTTTTGTTCTTTTAACTAATCACCCTAGTATCAGCCCTATGACACCTTTGTTATCTTCTAAATCAAATACAGACCTTATGTATGTAAATTTATTATATGTTGCACTCTCCTGAGTGTGTTTTGAAAATGATGGTGATTTCTGAGACCCAGGAGACTCGAAAAAAAATTGTTTTCAAATGCAGTTTTGAAAAAAGCACCCTTTCATTGTTTAAGCCCAATCAAGTATGGAGGTTATTAGGACAACTAACTTGTGCCCTTCATTTCATCCATGAGATTCCCCAGTGAAATCACTGGCCTTCCTCAAACATAGCAGAAGTCAGAGCAAATGTTCTCAACTACACACCATTTTGATTTTTTTTGCAAAGCACTGTAGAAGGTCTTAAACATTTGCCAGGCTTTCTTGGATCAAGCATTCTGAAGTCAGGTATGCAAGCCTAAAAACAGCTGCTTAAATGTTCCTGTGTCTGTCCTGCAATTGGTCTTCACTTCTTGACGTATGTACGTATGTAATTTTAATACCTTGGTCTTCCCACAGCAACGAAAAGATCCTCTTCCATTTTCCTGAGATTAATGGCGTGATCTGTCCTTGTATCGCTGACAGCTATGCTGCATAGTAAATGCTGTGATCTTTTCTTACCTACTGCCATCTGGGTCCGGCTTTTCATACCCATTGACTTGTCATACTCATCTATCTATATCTATATATTACCCAAATCAGTGCTTCTACCGGCTTGGCTTTTGTGGTTGTGTGTGTTTCCTTTTCAAGTCTCTTTATTCAGTATATGTGGATGCTGAATAAGCCATTGTGATTCTCTAGCATCTATTCGTTACCGAAACATCACCATCCGTTGTGAAATTTAAGTGGCCGAACCGCTTGACTTCATCATTTCCAGTCTGGCATTGTTAGCATCCGCTGCTTTCCAGGCCTCATCACCATCGTGTTTCTGTTTGCTTGGGTTTTTACGGTCGATTGCAGACAAAGTCTAAACTAGCTTCAGCCACGAAATTGTTTGGGTCTGTTCAAAAGACTTGGTATTACTGACATACAGATGATTTTAAGACTGGCCAACTTGCTTCTTCTGCTGTTGCTCTGAACAGGAGCTGATGGAGAGAGTTGAACTCCTGTACATCCCTTTTTGAGCTCATTATCTTGTTATCTGGTGTAACCCAGTTAGTACGGTGCTTTCCTGGTAGTGTTGTCCAAGCTGTTTATCTTCACGGTGCTGGGTACTGTATGCTCCTTTGCTATCCAGAGATCTAGTATCCAAGTGCACATCTTCATCTGCTTGTCTACTTGCTGCTTCTGCTTCCATCTTCTTCTTCATTTTCTCTTGGATAGCCAATTACAAATAAACAGTATTTTATTACATTAAAATGAAATACCATTATTTGGCAACTTGCATACAGTACAATGTTCGGAGTACAGTAGAAATCCAGAATTCAAGCTTCCCAACCTGTGACGACAGAAGTTTATGTGAATGCACTATATTGAAGTGGTTTTGGTGTAAATATCAAGCACCAGGGTGATTATTAAAATATTGTAATTCACTACCGTGTTTACAAAGAACTACAGTACAATTCAGATTGATCCAAAATACCAGTTATGATTCAGAACTACTATGGGGAGTACAATCTCTGCTTGAATTTTTGGATTATTGAGAATATTAACCAGTATTTGTAAATGAAATGAATGTATGCATATGTATGTATTAATCTATGTGTGGGCACATGTATATTTATATAAAAAGGAAAGAGACATAAAACCAATTAAAAACTGAAAGACAGATGAAAGCCACCCCACAGTTCATATAGATCTGTTAGAGAATGTGTTGCAACAACTTCAAAAATAGTGTGTACATAACTTATAATGTGCTATATATCTTTCAGTGAAACTTCCATTGCTTTTTTTCTCCCAACCTTCAGTCATTCAGTATGGTTTATCTCTGAAAATAAGCATAAAACTGATCTTGTTTGCTTTTTCCTCTATAGATTGATATGATACTAGCATAGCATATGAAGGGGTACTTTTTGGTATCATTGACTTTGCTGCAAATAGAAAACCAGATCAAAAAGTAAGAAAATGTCACACTCCTGAAGTATAAATTCTTTCAGTAAAGGAAAGAACCTAGTGTCGGTTTTCCCTTTCTTTCTTCTGTTTCTATTCCCCCAGCTCTTCCTCTCCCTTGAGCTTTCCCATCAAATTCCCTGTATGCAGACAGCACAGTTATTTTAACCAGATAAGTAAGATTTGGAAATTGCAAGTTAGCGTACATCAGCCTAACCTCATCAATAGCAATGGAGCAAAGCCAGTTTACAGTATCTGTTGACACGGCCCTTTATGTGCAAGGTGAGACTCCTAATTCCTGATTCCAATTGAGTTTTGAAAAGTAAAATAAGGAAAAACTATGTGATACCTGCTCTTCAGTGAGGAGCCTTGTAAACCTGAAAATTACAGGGGAGAAGGTAAAGAAAAGGGGCAAGGAGGGACTTAAAGAAAAGCAAAAAGGAATTAATAGTAAACAAATGCAGAAGACTTATAAAATATTTCTAATCTATTTAAATGATACCCTTGTTCTTAATAAAAGTCTGACCATGGCCCATAAATAGATATATGTTTCATCTAGTTTTAAATTTGAATATTCAGCTTCTAATTCCCCTCTACGAATAAACATCCTCCTTTAATAAAAGCACAGACTAAAAGCACTTCAAAATATTTTTCTTTGTCTCTTGCCTTAGTTTATTTAATGTAATGTATATTTGCTTAGTAAATCCCTCTGAGGTGCTGAGCATATGCTGCTGTCAGTGAAGTAAATACCATTTACATATCCTTAGCTCATGCTGATAGATAGGCTTTTGGTGATAGCTGCTTTTGTTGAGTAGAGTTGGTTTTAACCATGATGTTTGTTATTTGGATAAAAATTCAGACAACTTCTTAATCTGGGGTTACTTTATTTTTTAGTATTCCTATCTGAGTCTTGTTAGCTAAACGATTTCAATAAAACAGATCTATATATTCATTTCTTACCCTAGAATAAATATCCTATTGTTCTGTTTACTGCTTCTCTGAAGCTGATCAGCTCATTTACTTACTCTCCATTTAGGCTACGAGTTTGCATTTTTAAAAATCCTTGTTTACGTTAGGAGCTGTGCTATAGTCTTTCCTGCAAGATTACACAGAACAGAATCAAAGAAAATCCTTTATCCAAGACAGCCCCCATCATGTTCAGGTTTGATTTAGAACTCTACAGATATAATCAGCTGTATTATAAGAAAAATTGCTCAAAAAGTCTTAAACTTCTGCGCTAGGTAGATATTTGGTGTCATACAGAGTAACAGGAGTGTATCTTTGAACACTGTCCAAAAATACTGAATCAATAGCCAAAGCACACTTCAAATGTATACTTTAGCTGGGTCCAATTCCCAATTATTTTCAAAGGCCCATTTATCTTAGCATAATAGGCTCAGCTATGATACTAAGAGAAGGATTCTTATCACATGTTGAAGGTACAAGACAGTTTAGTTAGGAAGGTGACAAGGAGTTCTTCCTTGGTGAATTTAAGTGAGGACTTCGGGGGGAAAAGGATGGAGAAAGGGCTGGAGCCACCCCCTTCACTTTGGGTAGGACATTAAAATAACTCCCATAACACATGGACTGGGAGGTTGGATACATAAAAATAATAACAGATGTGGGATATACTGCAGAATAACTTTCTATATATTTATTTTTGATTAGTGATAAGAATAAGGTAGCTGGAGATAGCTGGTCCTCCTCAAAAAAACAACGAGCCTCATTATTTATCACAGAATAACAGTGTGCAGCTAGCAGTTACTTCAGGTGAGCTGGCAAACACTTTCCCTATCAGTTTTGCCTCTGAATCTTGCATCTCATAAGACAAAATGGTTTAAAGGTCATACTTTTCTTTCCTTTAAGGTTGAATCACCCTAAACTACCTTGTGCTGTTAAAGCAAGTTCATATGCATGTGGGCAGTGGAGTATCAAGTTCTACTTATGAATTCTGTAGACTCAAAAGAAAAGTCAGGTAATTTGAAGTTCACCAGCTATTAAAAGCAAGTAAGGCCGTTTTGCACTGAATTTGGATTAAGAGCCTCTGTATAAGCAGTTGCTTAAGAGCCACTGATGTGGTATTTCATTTCCCTGCTTCAAAAAGTTTTTTGGCATTTTTCTTTTGTTTGTTTGCTTTCAAGTAGGCAAACAGAGAGATCCTTTGCATTTAAA